TTTTATGGACTTATAAGTATCACAACCCCAATTAGGATCCCTGTTAGGGTACTTATAAGTCTACTTATTACCTACTTACTGAGTCCCTCGACCCTCCAAGTAGACCCTAAACCCTAAACCCTATATAGATCCCTCTAAGGAACCTTATAGATCCCTTTAAGGGGCCTTTTCTGGAGCTCTTTACTAACCCCAGTTTCGAGTTTAGGGCCTCGGGTTTCAATCCTGGGCGTCTCCTTGCGCTTGCGTCTGGGGAAAAGGAGGGACCCTAAACCCTAAACCCTAAGGGACCTCCAAGTAGTGACCTCTAAGCGTCTGGAACTCCAAGCCCGACCACCCGGAAACCCGTGTGCTGCTTAAAGGATCATGGGACTTACTAAATGGGGTCCTTAAGGGGCCCGCTTAAGGGATCTATAGGGGTACTATAGAGGTTTAGGGTTTAGGGTCTACTTAATGGATCATGGGATTTAGTGGCTAGGGTTCTTGGGATCTATAGGGTTTCTATAAGATTTCTATAAGGAGGATCATGGGACTTAGTAGCTAGGGTTATAAGGGGCTCTTTAAAGGGATCTCCAGGGTTTCTTTAAGGGGATCTATGGGGTTTAGGGTTTAGGGTCTACTTAGAAGATCATGGGACTTTGTAGCTAGGGTTATAAATAGCTTAACCATACTTAAAACTACTTATTTCCCCGATTAAGGTACTTGTAACCTTACTTACTAGGTCCCATAATCCTCCTTATAGAACTCTTATAGAAACCCTACAGATCCCTTATAGATCCTTTTAAGGAACCCTTTAAGGAGCTAAACTTACTAAGTCCCATGATCCTCTAAGCGCGCTGAGGCCAACGTCTGCGGATACGACTGGGAGTTTTGCCTCATCAGCAGCTTGTGTCTGGGAAGTCGCTACATGAGGCCGTCGTTGCTCCTTGGCGTTCTTCTGGTTGGCTCTTAGGGGCCTTTAAGGGGTTCCTACAAGGGATCTATAGGGGTTTTGATTTGGGGATTTAGGACTTTAACTTTTTGGGTTTCTGTATGATTTATAACAAGGAGGCTAAAAGTTTAACTTTTAGGAGGGGTTCAGAAGTCAGCCAAGGCTCTTGGCCTTACGAGATACGGCGTCGAGGCGGAAGTTAGACCAAAACTGTCAGAACTGTCCTGAACTCGAAAGGGACCCTTAATGGGGACCCCTACCCGATAATGGGCTATATAATGGGTATATAACAGCTATATTAAGGGTATGTACCTAGGGGTCCTTATAAGGGTCCCTCGTTTTCCCCTTTGACGAAAGTCCTAAATTGTCAGGGTGGTCGACTCCCATAGTTTTTGCTGAGCAGGACATGAACGAGCTTGTGAATGCCCTGGCATCCTACATTGGGCTATACTTCAAGGAAGGGACATGAGGGTTTAGGGTTTAGGGACATGAATTCCTCTTCGCACGTCATCTCGCCATGTTTCTGAGCACATGCAGCCTGACCAGGACATGAGCACCGTGTCATTCACGAAGGTCAAGTTTCAGGACTTCGGGGCGCAAACCAGAACTCCGGGGCTCTTGTAAATGAGTTTAATTTAGGTTACCATCATCGGGATCTACAGCGAATAGTATGTTTTCCTTTTTCTGGCAAGTGAAATTTGGTTTTTGAACAGATCAAGTTCGAAAACAAGATCCCAGACACGGGGATCGTTCCCGGCTTGACTTTACAGCATGAGTCGGTAAATCTGAAAAGTTGGTTCTGTAGGAGAGGCCTATGGAGCTCCATCACAATTTGTTGCGCTTCGTCGAAATTCGGCATCAGCACGTTTTGTGTAGGTTTCGCCAAATTCAGACCTTGCAAATCCTGATTGGTGATGTTCAGTGTGCGAGCGTGGCATGAGCACGATCTGCGGACCGGAACTTGACAGCTGCATTGATGCTAAAGTTCATGATGCTCTAAACCCTAAACCCCTAGACCCTAAACACTAAACCCCTAAACCGTAAACCCTAAGACCTAAACCCTTAAACCGTAAACCCTAAACTCCTAAACCCTCAACCCCTAAACCGTAAAACCCCCATGATGCCAAAGTTCAGGGATGAGGGCTTATCCTGTCACAGTCAGAGCGCCCGGGGCAGGTCGCATGGACTTTGCCCCACATCACATGCTCAAGGGTTTAGGGTTTAGGGTTGTCCCTATACTATAGCGCCCTTGTCGCATAGATCCCTTATAGAGCCCTTTAAAGGAAGCCCTGTTCTAATTATTAAGGCCCCTGGTACCCTTATAGATCCCTTATAGCAGCCCCTAAAGGCCCCTTTAAGAAGGAACCCCTACTCCAATTATTAAGGCCCCTACATCAGAGGCTCGCGGAGCTTTAGCCCAAAAAAGGCCATCCATGATCTGGAGACGAAGCTCCCAGAGACTCCAAAATCCCTTTAAAGGCATTTGTAAGAGTTCCTTCTAATAAGCAGGATCCTACTCTTTCGGGTACTTTATTTGGGTCCCCTGTGTTCGAAAACTCCGATATTTCTAGGGATCCTATAAGGGATAGGTGATGTATGGGGTATAGGGTTCAGGCGGGTTCAGGGGACTCCAATATCCTGTAACTAAAAAATACCTAGGGTTCCTTTAAAGGGATCCTCGAGGGTTCCTTTAAGGGATCTATGGGGTTTAGGGCTTAAGGAATTCTAATATCCCTTGATTAAGGAATAGACCTCAAATCATATCAGGAGTTCAAGTATAATCTAAGGTATACCTTCACCCCCAGTAACCTACCTTTTCATGGACTTATATAAAGAAATCATATTAGGGAGCCCTAAAAAGGTTCCTTAGGGTCCAGGTATTCCTAAATTAGGGGACATTGTAGTTTCTGGGCTCCAGGACGAAGTGGATTTCATCGGTCTGCAGCCTTTTTGGAAGTGGCCTCCGAAGGACGGCTCCTCACCTACTGGTCATGATACTGGGCTCTTGTTAAGGAGCTTCATTTCACCTACCCTCCATAAGGAAGCCCTAATATTTACCATAGGTCTCTGTTCGGGTAACTTAAATGAAGTTCCTTAAACAGAACCTTTCACCCCCTGAGCCATAAAGCGCAAGGCTCTGTAGGCCGCGCAGCCCTAAACCCTATGCCCTAAAGCCTGAACCCCTAAACCCTAAAGCCCAACCAAGGACATCCCACTGGATGCCCGACTAGAGCAGAACGTGGTTCCCGCACAAGCCTTGATGGAGCTCTTCCTTGCTGAAGAAGGGCTCGTTCATCGAAACTAGGTGGCACCCTGGGAATTTTTTAGTTTCCTTTGCGTGGTGCCTATGTATGTACCTATTCATTAAATACCTGTAACTTGTAACAACCTCAGAACCGCAACCCAGGAAAGGTGTTTCACACAAACCCGCTGCTGCAACAGTTCCTGAGCTCCTCCGTAGTACCTTTTTGCCATGTTCATTCTTGGATTCCTGCTTTTTAACATTAAAACTAACGAATTAACAACAATAACTGCACATCCAAAAGGGTACACCGGGAACCCTAAATCCCAAACCCTACAACCCAAAAGGTACAAAGCCCTGAGGGAGACCTTACTAGGGAACCCTTATAGAGAACCCTACAGTACCCACAAAAAGAAACCTACACCCTACACTCAAAAGGTTCACAGCCACAGGAGGGGACCCTAATATAGCACCCTAAATAGTAGGATCCTTGTTATAAGGACCCCACAATAAGGGACCCCCATTTTTCGGAAACCCTACTCCCAAAAGGTTCAAAGCCATGAGGGAGATCCTGCTGGCCAGCGATGCAAACCGAATCTCGGCTTGCCACAACCAGGAGTGGGTTTAGGGTTTAGGGTTCACGAGTGTCTCTCGCAAACCCCACAGGGCACTGGGTTCAGGAGTCTAGGGTTTAGGATCATAATGTTGCTTCCTTAATTCAATTGGAGTATAATCCAGATTAAAAACTATGTTCTAGTTTTACGGCCGCTTTTCCTCAACCCCCAATTAAACCCCTACAGTAACCCTCAAGTGGTAACATTTCGAAACATTAGGGCCCGCATACTAGGGACTTTCGCAGGGTAGTCAGGCCTACCCCTAAGCTCTAAACCGTGCTACAAGTACTCCCAAACCTAAACCCTAAACTTCTCACGAGGCCTCGTCGCTGAGTTGACATTCGTCCGGATCAACGACCTGGCTGCCCCTCCAGAAGCTTGGCTCTTGCCTACTCTAGGGGCCTCGAAACCCTATTCTAATTATTAAGTCCCCTATATTAGGTTCCTGACTAGTACCCTTTTGCCCTTTCTCTTTTTGGGTTCCTTTATAAACAAACCAGTAGAAGAAAGGGCACTCTTGTTGGGGCTACGCAGGCGTAGTTGCCAAGGAACTTTACTAGGTAGGCCTTGGGGACATTTCACATTTTCCCTTGTTGGGCTTAAGAGGATCTTATTCACGAACATGTTTCAGAGGCTTTGAAGGGCCAACCTAGTTCGTTTAAGTTACCATAATGAGGAATGGAAATATTGTAGATCCCTATTACGGTAGCTCAGACTAGATTCCCTAGCAAGAACCAAGGAAGCCATGCATCCGCTGATGTACATTGAGCCCTTCGTGACTCGATTCCGATCTCGCAGTGCCTAGCAATCCTGATGGTCCCAGTCTGCAAGCCACTTGGTTGCAATCCGCGAGCCCTGGTTGCCGCAGGTGGCCTTGATGATTCTCGCGAATGGGATCATGACACTGGGCTTTGTTTCAGGCATCGCTTGTGCGAACGTTTTTAGGTCACTGAGGTCTCTCGTTCTTGATAAAAGAGTGGCGTAGCGGGTACTGTGCTAAGATGCCGACACTGATTTCGAAACATTCACCCTTACCCTAAGCCCCGAAACCCTGAGTGGGAACTGAGGATAGGCTTTCAAACCGATCCCAACTACCAGCACTGGGAGGCACAGCGCAGCCAGAGTTTGCCACGCCCTTGAGGATTCAGCGTGCTTGGAGTTTCAGACTTCCGCCGCAGCCATGGTTCGAGCATAGTTTCACAGAGGGCGCGGTGCCATGGAGCCAGATCAAGTGGTTCCGGGAGAAAGAGAAATCCCCCCCATAGAGCCCGAACAGGTTGGCCCCGAAGTTGAGTCAGGTTTCTCCGAAAAGACCTCGATGTCCGAGGATGCTGCATCGGCTACAGAAATAGAAGTTGCTGAGGCGGGTGGTTGTCAAAATGATGGTCCCTTTTGGGTCCTTAATACGGCACTTATTATGTAGGGTAGCCAAACAGGGACTTTCCAGGTGGTCGCCAGGATGGAGTCGGCCAGACCAGGCATTGTTCGAGCCGTCCAGGCTTGGCGTGCGCTCAGTGGCCTAGGCAAAGTCTTTCGCAGTGGCGCGCGCAACTTAGATCCCAAATACCTAACTTTTAAACTTTCTCGCAGTTTAGTAGGGATGGGAAAATTCAACCTTTTGTTTGTGTGGCTTATATGCAGAGTAAGGCAGGAGCATGGCACCTAAAAGCTTCCCCGCCCATCGAATTGATGAGTTTTGGAGTCACAGCTGGCATGGACGGAAGTGGCTCAAAGCGTGGACGGCCTTCTACATGAAGAACACCACAGCTGCCACGATTGCAGCCACCTTGGCCTCCACCATCCTCTGCGTGGTTTTCGTGTGTAGATGGGTGCCCCAATTTCGATTCCAGGAATCACCGCCCTACCCAAGAAATCCGCCCTGGTGCCTGCTCACTGGCCTTGTGTTCTACTGCCTGTTCTTTCTGTGTTGGCGGCCTGGAGGCCACATCTTCTTAGACATTCTGTGCATAGATCAAGAGGATGACGACTTGAAGGTGGCTGCGTTGCTCAGCATCGGGGCCTTTCTCAAGCGCTCAGATGCACTTGTCATCTTGTGGGACCCCTCGTGGAGTCAGCGTCTCTGGTGTGTGTTTCTCAGCTCTCCATACGCGGTGTGTGTTGAACTTGGTGGTTTTCTGAATTGTTGTTCCAGCTTTTCCTTTGGCATTCGAGAAGTAAGGTTTGAGTTGGCAACATTTCTGCACAGTCGCCCAGACAAGCAGCATGCAAAGCTGATCATCAGGCCGACAGCACTGGGCCCGGTTTTCCTCTCTTTGCCGGCTGGCTTATCTTTTGTTCTTGTGGCCTCGAGCTTCAGCCCGGGGGATCCGCAGGTTGATCAAGATTTCGTAATTCCCACTCTGGGAATCTTGGGTTTTCTTGGCTTCTACGTGTCGGTGGGTGTCATTCGTGGGTACTACAGATCCGTGGAGGAGTTGCAGTCAAGCTTGTCAAAGTTCAACATCAGCGATACGAAGTGCTTCTGCTGCTCGGAAGAAGACCACAGCGGATTGGTTTGTGATCGGAAGATTGTCTACCGCTGCATCATGTCATGGTTCGGCAGCCTTGAGAACTTCGAAGCGCAGGTCCGCACAGAAGTCTTGGAACGTCTCCTTGGTCAGCTATCCTTACAGGTCTTCACATACAGGCAGTGCGTGGCAACTTGTCTGCCTTTGCTCTGGTCCACGTTTGATTCATTCGCCGAGGAATTCATTTATCGAGTCTATGTGCAATCGCCTGGTGTTGGAGCCTACGCCTGGGTTTATAAGGTTCTCAGGAAGTTCGTTCGAGGAGTCGCCTGGACATTCGGAGCTTTGCCTGTGCTCTTCTGTGTGGCGACGAAGATTTCCTTCCTGTTGCGAAGGAGGTGCTGTGGGATGTGCGGCGAAATCCTGGTGAACGTGTTTATTCTCTTAGTGACGCTCTCTATATTTGTGGGATTCCTGGTACTTGAACGCTGGTGCTGGGAACCGCAGTTCGATTTCGTGCCAGATGGGAACGCTAGGTACGACTTGTTTCCAGGATCATGCGTCTTCGGTTTTGGCATGCTCTCACTCGCCACGGTGATTTTTCTGTGCATTGGTCCCTGCAATTTAGCCGGCCATACCCTGCAGCGTGCATTCTCAGTGTTCTCAGTGAGCCCACAAGCTGAACCAGTTGCTGGCATTTAAGTGCCGCATGAGTGGATTCATCATAAATCACCTTCAACTTTTCTGAGCCTGCAAGTTTACAATTCTAGCACAAAGCGGTGGTGCCGTTTGGTTCTTTTCAGGACCCACAAAACGTGGGCTCCGGCTAGTGCTCTTTGGTCTTCAGCATTGCGGCTGTCGCGCGCCACATGCTTCTCAGATCTGAGGCAACCATTTATTCCTGCTACTACTACTACTACTACTACTACTACTACTACTACTACGACCACAATAGTACCATTATTGTTATTATTATGTTTAGCAATGCTTTTTGATGGGCAGATGGTAGCATCCGCTGGATATCCCGTTTCTTCTTCGCCTCGGTTTTGTCAGTTGCCAAAACCAGAAGCTGTGACAGCCCTTTCTCACCGGCATGAGCTCTTGCCATCCTCAAGACTAGCAGAGCGTGTACAGACACTTTCCACTTTCGTTGCAGAGCCTTTTCTCGAGATGAGCACAAGCCCGTAAAGCGAAGATGCGAAAACGAGATAGGAGTTTCAGGTTCGTCTTAGGGAGGCAAAAACACACACTAGCCCCTCCTGAAAGCATGCATCTCTGCCGCTGTGAGAAGCACGTTTGCCCGCCAGGTGTACTGCACAGCCCCGTACTGCAGGTCCCGTAAAGAAGAGCTGTCCAGATGGAAGTCTCTGGCATCAGCACTCTGTTAGATCTACTGCAGTGCCGGTACTTGTTGACATGTATTGTAGACCTTGCTGCTAAAACCCCCCGACCCTACTTGGAGGATCATGGGACTTAGTAAGTAAGGTTATAAGTACCTTAATTGGGGTTACAAGTAAGTATAAGTATGGTTACCTTATTTATAGCCCCAGTTACTAAAACCCCCCGACCCTAAAAAGGAAAATAGGCATCGAAATATTCAGGCCCCTGAATAGAAGGCGACTATCGATCAGGGGTCTACGTTAGTGTTTCCCTAAAGCTTGAACCCCTAAACCCATTTCGATACTTTAGGGTTTAGGGTTTGGGGTTTAGGGTTGGGTTTAGGGTTTACGGTTTAGGGTTTTTCGATACAGTTGCTTCAGAAGCTCCTAAAACTGCCTGTGTAGGCTTGCTGGCCAGGTGGGGCAAGTTCTTACTTCGCATGCAAAAAGCCACAGGCCCTAAACCCTTAAACCCTAAACCCCTAAACCCTATGCCCCAGATGGTGGGACTATGGGGGCATCCTTATTATAACGACCCCAAGATAAGGTACCCTTATAGTACCCTTGCAGACCCCTTTAAGGAAGCCTTTAAGGAACCCTTAGGGGTAGATTCCTAATAAGGTACCCCCCCTAATCTTCGGAAATTCCTTGAAAAGGGACAGATGCAAATGCAAGGTCCTTCCCAGGGTCCTTTTTTTGCGGAACCTTAAAAGGGACCCTAATTTCGGGTTTAGGTTAGAGTTTTGGGTTTAATTGCGGGACCTGAAACCCTACACCTCTAAGGACTCATATATTAGGGCCTTTGGGCGCAAAGACCATACTATGTAAGGCTTTGGGGCTATGTTGATGCCCAGGGAGACGGACCCTAATTTAGAGAACTGCAGAGTTTGAGTCTGATCGGATTGCAGTTCTCATCCTGCGCAGGGATGGATCTACCTTGAGACCGCCTTCGCTGTCCTCCTCGTCCTAGAGATTTTGTTTCGAATACATTTTCTTCGGTGTCATACATATTGGTGTGGTCCGGAGAGATATTGGAATTGGTTTGACCTTTTCCTGGCAGTGACTTCAGGGACCGACTTGATGCTGCAGATTGTTGAACAGCAAGCCAGTGACATCGCCGGGACCAGTCTCCTGAGATTCACAAGGCTAATTCGGCTGGCGAGAATTGTCAAAGTCTTCCGCTTGAAGATCATGAAAGATTTGCGTCTCATGGTCAAGGGATGGATTGCAGGGCTGCGAACCCTCATCCTCGCATTCACTTTATTGTTCGCCGTCCTTTACGTCATCTCTGGCTTCGCCACCATGGCACTTGGCGGCCAGCTCGAAGTGGATGGAGATCTTTGGCCTCACTTCCGAACGATTCCTGCCTCGATGTTTACCGCCTTCAGATGCTTCACGGGCGAGTGTGTCAGCAGCCAAGGACAGGAGAAAAGTTTGGGTACACTAGAGGGAGTCCCATAGTGCTACCGCACGAAGGAATGCACTGTCTTTCAGGACATCCCATGACCGACGCTCTCGCGACCAAGTTCGGGTTGACCTTTATAATCCCCTACGTTGCAAGCTACATGCTGGTCTCAGCCTCGGTTTTCTTTCATGTCGCAATTGTCCAGTGAAGAGTTTCAGTGAACAAGGTCACCATGGGCATCTTCAACGTGATTTTGGCTGTCTACGTGGATATAACCATGCGTGCTGCAAAAGAGAATGACGTTAACAGCGCAGAGCAGTATGCTCGTGAGTCCATTCGGGTAGCCCGGTGTGCTCGCGAGCTTCTCAAGAGGTTCGCTACTGCGTACCGGGAACTCAGCGACGCTGATCATGGACCGTCGGCCGTGGAAATGATGTCTTCCATGGAGTTTACCTCAAACCGAGCTGGGGTATTCACGGACGATGATGTTCATGATCAAATCGAGATTTCGAAGGAGCTTTTTCTCGTTGTCATTCAAGACAGAGGCCTGGCCATTGAACCCTCGTTCAGTTGGTAAAGGGCATTCCTCTTGCAGCCAGTGGCTTCTGAATTTCTTGTGCATGTTCGTGTGGCCTTGTATTTCTGACCCACATTCTCTAGGGCTTCAGTGCATGTGGCTGCAACTCTCCGGAAGTGCGAGGTGTGCAGCAGCTCATGGATGAGCTTGATCTACCACCAGACCGGGCCAACATGTCCCTTGCTCTGTCTCCAGTAATCGCATCTTAAGTCTGCAGACCTCAGAAACGGTAGGAACCTTTCTGGATTTATCCACTAACCTTCCTGGCATTGACTAAAATCTGGATCCTTGACTCTGTGTCTTGAGAATCTTGTTTGAGGTTCCGTTCGTTTGTCAGGATTTAGGCAGAAATTATGTGGGTGTTGAATGATATGGATAATCTTTAGTGTTTCGCGTTACACTTATTGCTGTGCTAAAATATGTCCCACACCCCATTCCAATTATGTTTAAGGCTTATTACCTATTGTTTTCCTAGCTGTATTTTTGCATATATTACTTAATAAATCTTTAAAACTTTAATGTCATTTAAGGCCCTATAAAAAAAGAAAACGCAACGCTACACCCCCGAAAGCCTCTGAAGGTTCGAGGTCATCGATGCCGATGGGAACGGCACCCTCCACGCCTCTTGGGTTGTTTCGTTTTGAAAGACTACAATAAGACTATGTTAAGGCCCCTGTACTATATTATCCTTACACTATCCCGTATAGTACCCCCCTAAAGACCCCTTTAAAGGAACCCCTAGTCTAATTATTAAGGCCCCGATACTATATTGTCCTTATACTATCCCGTACCCCCATAAAGACCCGTTTAAAGGAACCCCTGGCCTAACTGTTAAGGCCACTAAACTATATGCCGTACAGTACCGCCATAAAGACCCCTTTAAAGGAAACCCTAGTCTATTGTTAAGGCTCCTATACTACATTATCCTTATACTATCCCTTATAGTACCCCCATAAAGACCCCTTTAAAGGAACCCCTAGTCTAATTGTTAAGGCCCCTATACTGCATTATCCTTATACTATGCCTTATAGTACCCCCATAAGACCCCTTTAAAGGAACCCTTAGTCTAATTATTAAGGCCCCTAACCCCCCATAAAGACCCTTTTAAAGGAACCCCTAAGCTGATTGTTAAGGCCCCTATACTATATTATCCTTATACTCTCCCGTATAGCACCTCCCTTATAGTACCCCCATAAAGACCCCCGTTAAAGGAACCACTAGTCTAATTCCCTATACCATACTATCCTTATACCATCCCTTATAATACCCCCATAAAGACCCCTTTAAAGGAACCCGTAGTCAAGTTGTTAAGGCCCCTATACTATTTTATCCTTATACTATCCCTTATAGTACCCCCATAAAGACCCCGTTAAAGGAACCCCTAGTCTAATTGTTAAGGCTTTTTTCAAGGCCTTTAGGGCACCCTTGTCCTAGCTCCAGCCTGCCATTACGGAATACCTAGGTTTCCTTTAAAGGGATCCTTAAGGGTCTTTGCAGGCATCTATAGGCTTTACGGATGTGAAAGTTGCGCACTTTCGCTTTTCAGGGCACTTCAATTACTACAAGGGCCTAGAAAATGACCTGCACGACCTTTAAAAGGGTACTTAAGGGCTCCTTTTAGGGATCCATAAGGGATCTATAGGGTTTAGGGTTTACTAGTCGGGGCTTTGGGTTTGAGGTTTCTTTAAGGGTTCCTTTTAACAGGTGTCTATAAGGATTTCTTCAATGGGTATTATGGGGGTTTAGTATAGGGGCCTAGATGATTACCTATACTGATTTGGGGGTTCCGTTAAAGCTGTCTATAGGGGCTACTATGGGGGCAGGTTATTGTCAGGAATTACTATAGGGGCCTGGATGATTACAAATACTGTTTTGGGGATTCATTTTGTTGTTTTCGTATATTGGTATATTGGGCCCCAAAACCCTATTCCAATTATTAAGGCCCGTATATTACGCAGAGTGCTCTGAAGCTACGGAAGGTCCAAGGCAAGCTTTTACTATGTCACGCTTTCAGAAAGCACTCTTTGTTGAGGAACGTGTTGTCGAACTGATTCTCATCCCGGGAATAAAAGCCCTTAACTCAAAAGCCCGACACGAAGCCTCACAACCTGCATGCCGAGACGCGGCCTAGGTTCAAGAGCTGGTCCAGGGCATGTTGAAAATCCGCGGCGACCTCACCAAGAGTGCTGCTGGGAACAATATAGGGTGTAGGGGTTTAGGATTCAGGGTTCAGTAGCCTCCTGCCGCGAGTTTGCTTCAGTTTTCCCAAGTCATTTTGGGCTTTTCTTTCTATCGAAGCTGGCAGCTGTCGGGAATACATGCCTGACAAGATGCAGCCTTTCATCGAAGCCCTTTCAGGCCAACCCAAAGGAATGACCCAATACTATTGCTCAGGAGTCCCCATGTCTATTCTACCCCGAAACTTGATTGAAACCGTAAAGCCCCAAGACCCTAAGCCATGATACCCTATTCTGCTACTCCGAAGCCCTCTTCAAATTCGAAAACCAGGACACAGTGGCCGCGTTGCTTGCCACGAAGGCACTCCAAAGCACAGTGGTACAAATCAAGCGGGATCTTGCACAGACTATCGAACCTTGGCGACATTTCGGGTTTAAGACCGTTTAGGGTTTAGGGATCTTGCACAAGCTATCGACACTTTGCATGATTTGGGGGTCTTATTGAGGTAGGCCATTCGGACATTTGTGATTCTTCCCTTGTCGTGTTAAGGGGATCCCCAATCAAGAACTTGTTTAAATCGGCTCGAAAGCGCCACTCTAGGAGACTTTGCACTACAACCTCAACTATGCTTCTTGGCAGTGCTCAGGCAAGCTTTCATAAGTTTTCGACTAGAAGGGATCGAAGCACCGATGCCGCTGAGACAAGATATCCAGTCCGAAGGTTGAGCCCTTTCAGAAAACTACATTCCAGAGGAGCTTTGAACATCATTCCGATGTAGGAGTGGAGGTGGAAGCTGAGCCAAGAGCTTCCAGCAAAGCTCATTTTCCATTATCGCCTTTACCTGTCCAGCCGGCAAAGCCACCGGACGTCACCGAAGAAGGTGACAATGACCTTGATGTTTTGCCTCGCCGATTGTCTCAAGATGTACACTACCCTTAAGGGGTTCTAGATGTACCAGAATGGTGCCTTTTTTGTATCGGACACCCCGACGTGTTCGTTGTGCATCGCTTCATCGAGATCTGCATACATCGCCATCATACCTCTGGAGGCTTATGTGGTAAGTACACATGCATAGCTATATACATGTATATAAGAGATATGAGCACACTTACATCTTTCTCTGTGGCTGCAGAGAGAGGTGAATTGCGTAGATTAAAACATATTGCTTTTCTATGTATATGTATGCCCATACATACATATACACCTGTATCTTTCTCTGTGGTTGCAGAGAGAAGTGAAAAGCCACGCCTGCAGCGGAGATGGCAGACTGCACAAGAGTGAAAAATGGAAGTCGTTTCTGCATGCTCGGCTCGGCACAAATCGTAGTCGGTGTTGAGCGCTTAGGGTTGCTCTGCGTGGCCTTTGAAACTCTTTTGGGTGTGGTTCGAGTGCGACTATCAGTCCGCTTCGGATAAATATTCGCATAATTCCTTCGGATTACCAATTATGATTTTTGTTGTATTGCGAGGTACCCCAAAGCCCTCTTCTTCTAGTCAGATTCTAGTCATCAAGACCCCAATATTCGCACATCGCAGCTGCGTTTCAGCTAAGAGGATTTACATTGGACGAAGTGTGACACGCAGACATGGTTTATGGTTCCCTTATCAGGTCCACAAAGTACGGCACCCATATAAAATGACTCTAAAAGGGAATTCAATGTTCCGGTGATGCAAGAGCTTAGCAAGGCTGATCAGCACTCCACCTCTTCCCAGTTCAAGGCTTGACATCACTTCTTCGATAAGGTTACAGGTGGTGCAAGTGGCCATGGCGCGAGGTCACTTGATCATTTTGGCTGTCTGGCTTTCGGTGGGTGACATCGGAGTCACGGCAACAGAGGAGGCACCAGTGGCGACGGTGACATGTGGAAGCCTCCGAGGCACTGTCCATGCCGCGTCGGAGTCTGCGGCTTTTCTTGGTATTCCTTATGCGTTGCCCCCCATCGGAGTTCGGAGGTGGCAGCCTCCAGTTGGCATCGGCACCTCTCCCGGAAGACACTCCAACTGCTGGAAGGGCCAGTTAGACGCTAGCAAGCCTGGGCCTGCGTGCTTGCAAGGAAGCCACTTCAGCCACGGAGTGCAGAGCTCTGAAGACTGCTTGCGTCTTCATGTCCACACCAAGAACTTAGAGGTGATTTCAAACATGTCAGACCCTAACCCCACCAGTGCGAAAGACAGTTGGAAGCTGAAGCCTGTACTTGTTTGGCTCCATGGCGGCGGACTCTTGGAGGGCTCTCCCTTTTCGCTACAGTCTGGCTACGGAGCTCAGGCCAACTTGACCTCGGAGAACGACGTCGTTGTCGTCTCAGTGCAATACCGTTTGGGAGTAGCTGGCTTCCTGTCTTTGGCATCGCTCTCCCACCACCACGACGTGCGTGGCACCTCTGGGAATTATGGCCTCCTGGACTGCTTGGAGGCGCTCCGTTGGATCCAAGGCAACATCCAAGCCTTTGGAGGTGGGGAGAGTCCCAGAAAGTGTTCCAAACATAGTATTATTATTAGTAGTAATATTAGAATTAGTATCAGCATTACATCATGAGAAGGTGCCCCAGCTGCCCCTAGTTGATGTTGTTGCACATGATGATCGCAAGACTTCTTCGTTTCGGGGTGGCTTTAAAGCTTCAGTCAAACCGCGAGACCCTCGACCCTAAAACCCTAAGTCTTGAACCCCTGACCGCAAAGCCTCTTAACCCCAAAGCCCCCTTGTAGACCCGCTTAGAGGAAGCCTTACAAATCCCTTTCAAGAGGAACCCGCAACGCAGGCGATCCGAAGCGGGTTACAGTTTGGGGGCAGAGCTCTGGAGGATCCCTGGTGCTGGCACTGCTAGCGTCCCCGGCAGCGAGAGGCTTCTTAGAGTTCCTTTAAAGGGTTTTGCGGAGGTTTGTAGGATTCCTTGAAAGGGTTCTAGAGAGGTGTATAGGGTTCCTTAAAAGGGTTGTTTCGGGTTTAGGGTCTAATAGTTTTGGGTTTCGCAGTTAAGGTTTAGGATCTAGGAGTTCTGGTGTTTTGGGTTTCGTAGCCGGGGTTCAGGGTTTAGGCATATTTCGGCTTTCAGTAGCTGAGTAAGTAATCTTTACAACGTTTCTGATGCTTGTATTATTACGTTGGGTTCCTTGCTACAACTACACAAAACCATGCCCCCAAACCCCATCCTGCCAAAACCCATTTCAAATTCTCAGGGCTGCATACTCAAAAATGTCAATGCTTTTCGGGCTCGGGAACTCATCCCCTCAGGTCTTTTCCACGGTGGTGTGAGCATGAGTGGATCGCCAAAGCTAAACAGTACGACAGTGGAAGCAGCCAAGTATTGGCACAGAGAGGTTGTGGAGCGAAGTCGCTGTGCCGAGATAGGCTTTCGGCACGAAACGGAGAAAGAGTTGTTGGACTGCTTGCTACGCCTGTCTGCGGCGGAGCTGTTGCGAGCCCAGCCCGACAATTGGCATGCCGACGTTTGGTCGCTTGAGATTTTCAGTCCTACCTGGCAGTATGCGCCCCTGTTGCTAGTTGATGGTGAGGGCGGTGTCTTGCCACAGGGTTATCTCCAAGCCTTCCAAGACTCTAAGCGCGGAGCTGTACCCGCAATTCTCGGGGTCACTCGCGAGGAAAGCGATTTTGCCCCCGGCCAAGATGTTCGGCACCTCACTCGGAGCCAGCTGATGCAAGTCCTGGCAGGGTACGCTGGCAGGTCTCAGGAGCCCGCGTTCGTGGAAGAGCTCGGGAGACTTTACGGTCTCACTGGAAACAACTCCAGCGACTGGGAACCACAGCGGAAATACGCTGAAATCCTCAGTGACATGACTACCGTATGTCCGAATTTCTATCTTGCAGGGGTCATGGATGCACATCGATCCCGACACGGAGCGTCTGTATTCTCATATGTTGCATCCAGACATCTCAGCAAACCCTTCTGCGTCATTGCAAACTTTACCAAGATGAAGCCGCTGTATTGCCCTCGTTTTGCTTTCCATGCGATGGATGAGTTTGCCATGTTGCAGCCTCATTTCTTGTACAATTTCACCGCAGAAGACAGAGCATGGGGGCAACGGCTAAGAGCCAGGATGCTCGAGTTCGCTGCGACCGGCAACGTCCAAGCCTGGCAGCGATTCTCTACTTCCACGAGAGGCCAAGCTGAGGGGCATGTCAGCAAGTCCCGCGAACTGCTGTTTGCGTCTTGGCTGTGCTTGGGTGATTTCAGGCGCTAGGCCGCTAGGGAGTTATAGCTGAAACCCAAGGACTACAACGTGATCGACCTCGGGGCGGCGGATAAGAACACACAGCGTTACCATGTCGCGCGATGCAACTTCTGGCTGCGCTCTGGGTTTTATGACAGCCGCGGTCTCGTTAATATGGCAGCGACAGACCTCGTCATTTCTGTTTAAGCCCGCGTTTCAATCCCTTGCGAGAACCAGCTGCCTACTCTTGTTGCAGAATGGATGGGAGCGCACATTGACGTGGACTGCATGCGCTGTGCCATTTGCTGCAGCCTGGCATCCAACACTTCCAGCTATTACACAGTAGCGGCGCTAGAGATGAGTTAAGCCAATTGGATCTTGGCTTGACATTTACGACTGCTCGAAACCATCAGGTAAACAGGATGCAAAGTCAATAATAGTAACAGATTCGATAGAAATCAACATATATACGATGATATATTTATATACACATAAATCAAGGTGGGTCGCTGTCAAGAATCGTTGCTCTAGGTTCAGGGGTTTGATGGCTCGTGGTGGAAAATAAATTGAGAGGATAAGGAGGAATACGGACAAGGAGGAATAGAAAATGGTATAAAACATGGAAGGAATGGAAAAAGGTTCTTTGCAAAGGCAAATTGTAACCCTGCAATCCTGAAATCGCTAACGGTGTTTGTTCTTTCGGGTAACCGTTCTGAAAGAATTATCTATCGCATCTAGGGGCGGGCTTTCCGTCAGCGGGAATATATGAGATCTTTAGAAAATATTTCAACCCAATGATTACCAAAAATTCCTAATTTAGTTAATCGCCTCGCATCGCGGTGCTTTTCCTGGTACTGATATTGTAAATGAAAATTTCAGAGTATTGCACTGGCGCATTCGCTAGACGATACCTTTTTGAAAATATTACTTGGATCTAAATTGATGTTGCCTTCGTGAAGTTTCTAACTGTGCGTAGGCGAAAATTTATGTTTCATAGTAACTCGTTTTATTAAGTTGTTTCTTCAGTTCGTATATAATATTACGAGTTTTGAAAATTGATCGTTTAATTTAGCTAAGCTCTTTTTTCAGCCGTCTGCCCCCGTATCTTCGTTATTGAATATCGACGGTATAAAAGCAAAAAATAATCTTCTGAAGTCATTTCATTTCATCATTGATATCAATTTCTATATGTCAAAGCAGCCTTTTAGAGTGAGCGCGGTGTAGTGTGTGTAGTGCATGTGTTGTATTGTGCGTGGTGGTGTATGTAGTGTGTTGTGTGTTTTGCGCCGTGTGATGTATGAATTATATGGGATGCACGTATCGTGCGTCATAAAGGGCTTATATATATTATATGAATTTTATATATATTGTGTTAGTTGCGTGTTGTATGTTGTGTGTCTGTGTTGTTTGCGTGTTTTGAGATTGTGTGGTGTATATATTTTGGGTTGTTTGCGCCGGTATATATTTTTACGTACGTGATATCCATGGTGCGGTCTCTTGATGATATTGAATGCCGTTGAGTATCTTTAAAGATGGATTCTCGATGCGCCCCGTATTCTCTAGAGTATTCTAGTGTCTTCTCCGGATGGAGGCGTTGAGAGTCTTGAAAGGGAAATGTGTCGTGAGATATCTTGTGATACCTGTGTGTTGCGTATTAATTGGGTCGTATATATTCTCGGATTACTATATCTTGTCGTATGCGGAAAGTGGTAATTAGCGTCATAATTTCTATTGCCTGATATGATTTTTCAAATTGAATGATCCGGCTTGTATGACGATGATAATAATAGTCGATATTCTTCTGAAGATATTAATATTGAAGATGACTATGATATTGAATATGATTTCATTGTTGATTTTGTTTCCGATCTAGAGTAGCACAATATTATAAGTAATATCGTCGGTGCAAAAGTAAGCGGGAAGGCGAATAAGAAGATATAAGAATGTCGCGGTAAAGCGTTGCATCATGGATACGTAGTTTATGGATGCCAAAAATTGAAATATATAGTGATATTTATTTCTATTTAGATTTTTAGAGGGGAGGATTTTTTATAAAGATTAATCTGGAAAGATCATTCATTGAAAATCTCAGATAATAACTATATATAAATTCATTATGCGGCATTCTGATTATTTCAGGAATTTCTTTCGAGCGTATTTGCGTAGATTTATGGGAGAAGGAAAAAAAAGAAGTAAGAAGGATAAGAGATGATAAGAAATAGAAGAAAGTAGATAGAGAAAATTTAAAGTAATAGAAGAAAATAGAAAATATAGAAAAGATATAAGAGATAAGTGAGATGGAAGAGATAGAAAATATAGAGAAAATAGAGGAGATAGAAGGTAGGAGAAATACGATAAG